TCTCTCTTTGAGAATTAGATTTAAGGGTATGCTCTCATTGCCTGAACTGAGCTAAACTGAAGTGAACTTATTAGAATTGAATTAAACTGAAAATAATCGTATGAGAACAAGCCCTAATATAACCTAGAGAGTTATACCATACTCTTGTACCCTTCGGGGTTGTACTCTCATACCCTTTTTCATATATTGGATAATTAGGGTCTGTTCTCATTGACAGAACTCAGCTGAACTGAACTGAGCTGAACTGAACTGAACTGCGCTGAACTGAATTGAACTGAACTGAAATGAATATTTTATAAGAGAAGGAAATTAGGAGCTGAACTGAACTGAAATGAACTGAATTTCAACGTAAGATAACATGCCCTTAGTATTCGTCGTTGGTGGGTCATTTACCTCATTTGAGGGTTTTACCCACGTTAAATGCGTCTCTTATTACTCTTTTTGTCAATTTTTTTTATCTATTTATGTCTCTATATATATCATTTTATACTTTCGCTTTCGCTCCCAATCCCAACACTATTATCATATTACAAAATCAATAATCTTAATCATAACATGAAGTGTTCCCTCCCGATTTCAGGAGATCTTGGGATAGATTCTTACCCTCGCCCTTGTGGCTCTCTAAACACCAAAAAAAAAAAAAAAAAAAAAAACATGAAGTGTAAATCCACTTGATGACTAAACAAGTTGAACCAAAATACAAGTAATTCCCAAGTGTGTAAAACCACTTGAAACAAGTTGACGCAGAATAATTTCTGTTGTGCCGACTTATTAAAGTCGACGATGAGGAAACAAGTTAGCAAAAAAATGTGATATTTTGAGACAATTCACATTTTATATTGATTGTGACAACTGGAGCAAAATTTACGAAGTATTTTTTATTAGTGATAAAAGATTATTTTACGTTAAAAAAGACCCACAAACATTTAATATTTATGATTTGAAAAAATTGAATCAATAATTGAGTGTGACCCTTGCTTCGCTGAATCGGTCCAACTACTTGTCACAATCGTTGCTAACTTTTTATTTATCAACATGTGAACAACATGTTGAGAATTTCCCTATTCGTCTCTTTATTGTTATAATCTTTTAAAAAATGTCATTTTTTTCTGAAATTTTTAAGGTACAGGCGACTGTACCATGCTTGGTATAGACAAAAAACGCGGAATGAGCATGTAACTCTTTCGTAAAGAACATACAACTGTTTTGTAAAGAACATATAACTGTTTTGTAAGAAAACATTCAGATTTATGTTTTTTTTTTTTTTAATCTAAAGAACATCGGTAATATTAATAAAAAAAAACATGATGATATTATGTAATGAACATTATTTATATATACCCACCATAATTTAAAGACAAAATTCGAAGAACATTTAACAATAAACATAAAAGCACATTATATTGATAATCAAATAACATGAACATATGTTCTTTTCACCCTTTTTTTTTTTAAGAAAATATGTTCTTTTCATGAAGTGGTGCACAAACAAATGAACCCAAAAACATAAAAAAAAAATATCGAATGAATTGCAAAAAAATTGAAAATCAACAACAATAAAAGTAACAAAATCAAAGAAACAATTTTCGTAGGAATTGCAAAAAAAAAAAAAAAAAAAAAAAAAAAAAAAAAGGGGATCAAATTCCAAAATAAACATTAAGGCATGTCGAAATTATACTTACATGTTGTTTTTGTCCCCCATATTAGAATTTTGGATTTAAAACTACAAATTTCTTCAAAAATTGCTTAAGGTTTTGAAGTTTGAAATTCAATTGGTTTTTTGGATTTTTTTTTTATACTTTTTGAGAGAAAAAACTTCTAGTGAGAGAAAAATTTAGAGAGAGGAAGTTATGTTTTGGTAAATGTCTAGAGAAAGTACTGTATCAGTAAAATATAATTTACTTTTTACCTCTTGTATTTTAAAAAAAACTGATTTACTTTTTCGCGTTCTTTATAAACTAGAGGAATGTTCTTTTAAATAGTCATGTTCTTTTGTTTCATAATATATGTTCTTTTAAACAATCATGTTCTTTTGTATCATAGTATATGTTATTTTAAACAGCCATGTTCTTTTATTTCATAGTATATGTTCTTTCCGCCTTTTTATTAATCAAAGGAGAGACGATACAGTACTTGGTACCGGCGCCTGTAAGGATCACCTATTGCATTTTTTCTAGTCCAAAATTATTTTTGCAATTGTAGCTGTCAACATACTTCTTGTTATCGTTATTTCTTTATACGTGTCAAAATATAAAAAATAAGAGTAATTCTTTAAGAGTGTACGAAATAGTTTTTATGGTTGTTAATAAAAACTATTCCTTTCGTTATTTAAATTTGTTTGTATTTATAGATTGTTCGAGTAATATAAATGAAATATAATAAAGTATCAATAATATATTTGAAAAAACATATTTATGTGATAATCTACTGTCATTATTCTAATTTGCGAGTTAGAATTATTAATTTTTAAAATATGTATGGAGCATTATTTAAAGATTCTAATATCCCAAATTTGTATTGAAAAGTGGGTAAAAAAATAAAAAGTGAAGACAACTTAACAAACTAAAGAAGTTCTATCACTTCTATGTCATTCTACTAAAACATGATGAACAAAGCGACAAGAAAGATAACTCCTTGCCTATACTACTACAGAGTAGATCGATCATTTCATTATAAACTGTCTTGTACAATTGAGCTAAGGTGTGTTCTGATAGTTAAATTAGTTAAATACGGAGAATAAGATTTTCAAATCACATAAATAATTTGTAGTATCTTTGAAAAAATATGCATCGTATAATTAATACTAATTTTTAAAACAATCTATAAACGTCTACGTAACGGTATAAAGAAAATCTAATTTAATTAAGCCATGAATTTGTATTAGGTCAAGTCTTTTGGTTTCAAAATAAAAAACATGAATGTTGGAATTTAATTAGAAATTTCCGAACAAAATCCAAAAAATCCAATGTCGGACCTAATTAATTGACGCTTGACGAAGTCTAAAGAAACCCATGCTAGTGCCATCCCCCAAACACAGATAAGGAATAGTCCAAAACTTGTTCCGTCAAAAAAAAAGAAAAAAAAAAAGGAATAGTCCAAAACCTGTAGATTAAGACCCCTTTGGCCTTTGCCACTTCACAACCCAATTTGTTACCTTATATAATTCCCAAACTACCCCCACCCAATATATTATTATTACAGTTATCTAATTGTGTTGGCATGATTCTCATAGTAATTGTTTATAATTAAATGATGAAAATTTGGTTGTAATTATTATTCTCATAATAATTGTTTGTTTGTTTGAAAGAAACTATTAATTGATGAGATTATTAAGCTAAATCATTATATGATAATCGAGTGTAGATATGTAAACATTTATAAAATCAGATCATATTTCTAATAAGATTATAATAATATAAAGAAATTACACGCATGCATATCCATTACTCCATATTATATAAACTACAGAGTATATTATATAGCATATCGCCACTACAAAAAAAATGTCAGTTTCGTAGCGATTGTACATTCGCTGCAATATGTAAGTATGTTTGTGAAATAATTAAGAAAGTCGTATCATTTTACAATCGCAATGGTTTTCCCATATAAAATCGATACGGAAAACATAATAATACATATCCACACTATTTTTTACACATTTATATAATTTTGAGAAATTGTATCATTTACAATTGCCACGAAATCCTAAAAATCGATACGAAAAGCCTTTTCAACACTAGATATATAAATGTTGTTTGACAAACAATACATAAAATATGTTATAGTTTATTGGTGAAACATTTAATACGAGAGTTTGAGGTTGCATGTTCGAATCTTGTAAAGATGTGTAGTTTTCCGTATCGATTATTGAGGTCAACCCCATCGATATTGAAAACCACTACTAAAGGCTAAGGCAACGGGAGATATTGTATCGAATGACCATTCGTTGGGAAAGTTTATTGTTACAATTACAATCGATACTAAAGGTTAAAATAATTGCTACGAAAAGGTTATTTTCTTGTAGTGCGCGGATAAATATTTAATATGATACAGAGTAATATTATTAATACTCTGTAAGATCTATCGATGGTTTAAAAAAAAAAAAAAAAATCAACTCATAGCCTGGATATATTTTCCTTGGCTTCTTTTGATGAACTTAAATTAACTTAGTTTATTATACTAGATATTACTTTTATGATTAAATAGCTAATTTTTGCTACAACAGGAAACTTATCCCTTGATGTAAGAGGTGAGATATGACTAACTCAAGACTAATGCTTTTACTCGAGTAATGATAATTATTGATCTTAATTAATGCATAAGAAATGTCAGATATGAGTTATAAGTTGATGATATAAGAGATATGACATGACTAATTCAAGGGTCATACTTTAAACTCCATTAGTAATAATAATTATTAGGCATGGCAAAAGCTAATAAGAACATACATTCCAGACTTTAGATAAGAGAACTAAAAGTAGAAATATTTAAGTAAAATAAATATTACGGAGTAATTATATGCTTTCTTAACTTAATACGAGTTCTACATTAATACTAGTTACTTAACGTTTTGAAGCGCTCGTTAGCAATATCCTACGAGTACTGTAATTATTAATCTTAGGAGTATATAAAAGGCCATAGTGGTAAAAGCACACGAAGCGTTATTTTTGAGAAAAAATCTAGAGAGCACGTATAGTAACAGTGTACAAGTTTCCAATAAAGTAGGCAAACCGCATACACCGACGACCTTATCTTAAATGAATAATTAAAAATGAATCGACACCATATTCTTAGATCCCAAGCAATAAACACGTGAAATAAAACAATCGATTTTGAGGTGCATATTGAAAAGAGCCAACTAGCATTATTATTAGCCCCACCCTTAACACGAGTTGTATACAATTCCACCTACTTGTCTCCCTTAATCACGTAATTAATTATTCTTAATTAATCATCACCTTTTTTATATATATAATTAAAATTCCCTCTCTCATCAAGACTATATATATATATATATCTTCATTCATTCCCCCTATTATTCTCTCCCTTCTTTCCTTTATTATCTCATTAACAAGGTTTGATTAAGAAATCATGGGTTCTGAGAAGTTTGTTAAGTCTAATTTTACACAAACATGCACTCGTTTTAGCCAGTTTTTGAAAGAGAGGAGGTCTTTTGGTCATCTTGATGCTTTTAAGACTCTTGCTTCGTCCGACCTTGATGTCAAAGGTATTTTTTCTTATCTCTTTATTATGTTAATAACGTTGTACATCCTATAATAATCATATTACAACACGTAAGCTAATAAAAAAAATATGCCTGGCCAGGCCAAAACCTCGGTCTGGCCTGAGTGAGTTGAGTCTGGGGTACCTATCTAAAAAATGATGATTTGGTTGAATACATATATATATATATATATGAAAACGCGTATATTTGTTTATGGGTCGGGTTTTAAAGATTTTTGTTATAATTGTAGGAGCTGGAGCCAAAGAGGTAACAAATGCTGCAACAAATAATGTATTTCCAAAGAATATTGAGAAGGAGAAGATGTCTTTGGAGCTCTTTCCTATGATGAGTTCATTGACCGCTGCTAATGGTGCTGAAAACTCTACCAAAATTATGGCTGATTCCAGGTAATTAAGATGAAATCTCCATTTTATGGAATTTATTTTAAACCATTGTTATTTATAGTATTTGTAATTCAAATAATTATATATGGTAATTATAATTATGATTATGATATGTACTACAAGTATAAGTTATTTCTATTGTTTAGATCTAAAACATTTGAGTAAAAATGAATTATGTTTAATGCAAGAAAATGGTATACATTAATATGAGTTAGATCCAAAGTTAGTCATTTGATTTATCAACCACAAAATGAATGTGATTCTTTAGAAAAAGTGAAACATAAGTTAGGTGATCGACTTCTTTTTAAAAGTAGTAAATTTCACAAAGGTTTTAATATTACTAAAGTTTTGTTTGATCTTTTTGTGCATGCATATTCTATTGTTAAACTTAATTTGATTCCATGCTTGATTAATTATTTTAATTAGACCAACAATAATTGAATTTAATATATGTTGTACCAAAGCTGACCCACATAAAATATTTTTTGTTCAGAGAATCGCCAATTTCAAAAGAGGAGCCTAAGATTTCTACTAGTACACCAAGCATGACCATATTTTATGGTGGAAGAGTACTTGTTTTTAATGATTTGCCTGAGGACAAGGCTCAAGAAATCGTGTCTCTTGCTAAAAATGGAATGATGGGTCCTCGATCCCAAGCCCAGACTCAGACTCAGGCTCATAACGAATCACAAACCCCTCGTGCTATCAATGATGTGCTAGCACAAGATGTGGCCACTCAAGGAGTGGGTAACTTGTCCGATTTGCCTATGGCAAGGAGAGTCTCCCTTCACCGGTTCATGGAGAAGAGGAAGCACAGGGTCGCCGCTAATGCACCTTACCAAATTCGAAACTCAATGGCTGATGATTCTCATCCTCAAAAATTCGGCTCAATGAAAAGTTTGTATGATCAACAACTTGAGTTAAAGTTGTAGACTTCAAAAGTTTGTGTTCATCTATCATGTCTTAATTAAGTAGTTAAAGACCAATTATATGTAAAAAATTAATTTCTTAGTTTGTCATATGTTGATTTGAAGAAGTGATTTATCTTATACTCACTTCATACTCATTAGCTAGGTACGTTGTATAATTTTCCATATTCCTTGATCTAAATATTATATTTATTCATACTATTTATTACTGAAGCAATTGTGTTGATCATTCCATTAGAACAAGTATCAATGCAATAGTTTTTTTTATCTATAAAATAGTTTGTCAATCATTCCAATAGTTTTCACCTATAAATTTATCTCCCAAAAGCAATTAAATTATATTAAAACATCCCTAAACACCGCAACTTTTTATTTTGAACCATTTTGATGAGGAGGTTTTAGAGGGCCAAGTTGATCAACCGTTCCATATAGTAACACTGATCATTAGCATGTCATCCAACTATCCAAGTAGGTGTTTTATGTGAGGTTATATTTAGCAAATATTATGTACTGTTGAGTTATTTAGTTAATATCCTATTATTCTAGGAATATTTTGATTCTAGAGGAGATGATTGTAAACATTATATATTCACATTGAAATTAACGAGAGAGACATGTCATTCAATTCTATTTCCTCTCTAATTTATCAAAAGGTCGTGTACGTGGGTGATAAAGTGAGCATGGACCTTGGCTTGGTTGTGTTTTAATGGGAGAATAATGTTGGTAATCGATACGATTAATATTAGTTCAACAAACCATAGTTTGTGAATATTGTGATAGATCAAGAATACTAATTTATATTAGGCTTTATATAGAGTTTATTATTTGCAATAATTCTAAATAAGAGATTATTTTCTAGATGAACTTCAAGAGTTTATTCTTGTGTTTTCTTATTTTTTGCAAGCTTACACCTTGATCATCTTGTTTCACAAGTGATCGATCTATAATCTGGGTTGGTTTTATTCCGAAATTTAGTATTGTTCGTTGTTATCATTCATGCACCCCCATATGGGATTAGGCAATATTTATTAAAATTCTCTTAATGTCTGGGTATAAATGCATCAAGCACATTAATGAATAGGCAACTATCTATAAAATCCTATAATTAATTAGTATGTTCAAGTGCAAACTTTCCTATACTATCACCATTTGATATTGTCTATCATACATATCTTTCGTAATAATACCCATTACCAAACTAAGAACTCTATAAAAGGGGTCAAAGCATCAGACTATATACATTGGTGTAGTTCAAAGATGATTCTTGGTCGTGTTGTGTCTCAATGGAGCTTGGGGTTGGCTATGACAAACTAAATGGCCCAAATGATTGACCAAATTAAAATTTTAGTCCGTGTATCATCGTGTCATGTCATGTTTAAGCCAAATTTCAATTATCTGTTGTGCTTTGCCAATAAAATTATGAGTTTATGAGCCAAGGTCCCAAGTAATGAATACAGAAAAATGTAATGTGTCGTGCATTTTTCATGCCATATGTACGATGGGGATAGAAATTTGCACAAAATATCCACCGAACAAAATATTGTACGATTGAATGTGATATGCATGAGCTCTAGACAAATCTCATTTTGGTGAAAGTTTGAGGTGTGTTTCTTCCGTACTTACAGCCGATTTAGCTACAAAATTGATAAGCATGTACCTCCACTCATCAAATTACCTTCATAAGAAGGGCAAAAAAAATCCAGTAGTTTGAAAGATTAGTCTCCAAATAGGCACTTGGCACCAACTTTGACAATTGACCCATAAGTTATAAATTGCCAAACTAAATCAAATTTTTTGCAACATAAATCAAAGAAATATTATTCTAAAAGATAAGTACGTGGAAGTCCAAAGTGTGCGACTAAAACAAAGTTTTAACTCTAATATTTAATGTATGAAACTTGTGGTTTTAGATCACTTTATATAATTGTGTCGATCTTGAATTGGAATATTGTAAATCTGTCAAGATCTTAAGTAGGTATATATATGCGCATTTTCTAAATTTCCAATCGATAATACAAGTTCAAATACGATTTCGCCTTTGATTCAGTTTAGTTATACTATATAGAATAGTTTAGTTATAGTGGGATGATCAACCCATCAGCATCGCAGATTCGCAGAATATATATTATATAGTCACACAATATGCAAATGCAATACTACTGAAGCCATGTACGGAATATGTAGTCTTGACGTCTTGTATATACGTAGTACGGACTACGGAGTAACTATTAAGCATCGTGAATGACTAATAGGCTCTATTATTCTCCTCACCTTGTTTTCACCTGTTTTAGATTCAATATCTTTAAATTAGGATATGTTTTGTTATATTCATTTATTCAGATATAATAAGTTTAGAAGTTCAAATCCGATAAATTCCTGATAAATAAGTTCTACACCTATAATAAGGTTTAATATAGTTTGCAGAAGTTTAAATATAAGTAAAAATCAGATGAATAAACACAAAAATAAGGGCTAATATGTTCCGTTATTATAAATAATACCTTAAATTAAATAAGATAAGATAGTGTCAGTGTTTAATTAGTTCGCTCGGATTAATAGAATAACAACCAAGTAAACACTACCTTATATAGTTATATCCATACATTGTTTGATTTATTTTTTTAAAAGCCCTTATATACATACATGATCAATGGATAACTAGTTGCTAGTTTGCTACAAGAAGTGAACTGACATAGAGGTGTCAAATCAATACATAATAATTAATTTTGAAATATTTATTTTTAATTTTTACACGGTAAGATATGGGGCGAGGGGTGCTTGGGATTAGGGTTGCAAACGATCCGAGTCAGGCCAAGTTTTAATCTGATCGAGTTAAGCTTGGTAAGAATTTTTCGTGTTTGTACTGTCTCGAGCTTGAACGAGCTTTTACAAATCTTGTTCGAGCTGGGCTCGTAATGAATTTGGCTTGTTCGAGCTTTGTACACTAACATACTCATTTGCATTTCGAGTTTAAGTTCGAGCTTCAACGAGTTTAAATAATCGAGCTTGATTAAATAATAAACGATCTCTAATTTATCATTTAAAAAATGGTTTTTTTTCCAAATTTTAACACATCCATTTAATATTACATAAGATATTTATATTTTTTCTATAGAATAAGATAATGACGGAGTTTTCATGTCTTTATTACATGGTGAAATAATTAGTACTTTTTACAAATATGTATGAATAAAAGCTACGAAGTATATAAATAATATAAATTATAATCAGCTCATTTACACCCCTGCCTAGGATATGATAAATTATAATCAGATAAGTAAGAATAAATTCAGAATGGATCAGATCAATTATAATTAATTTTGACACACTTTATTATTTTTGTGCATTTTTTTATTGCTTAACATCGTTTCTTTCGTAATGAAAAAAATTATGAAGATTACATATTTATAAAATACAGTTTATTACAAATCTAATAAGACCCCACTTGATAGATTATTCATTATAGACTATCGTATATATTAGGTCAAAGTTTGGTTAAATCATATAAGCAAAAATAAGGTGATCTAAACAATGCCTTATATATGAATGTATAAATCTTTGCTTTACTTAGGTATAGTAGGTTTTCTGGCTTGTGTAAAATAAGTACCCCTAATCGTTGTAACGTTGAGAAATAGTCAATAGGTTGACTCATATAAAAACAACTAACATATATGCAAGGTTGTACTCCCTTTTAATAGGTGTCTTGGAAAGTTGAAACATTTTTTGTTTGACTTTATGTCATAACTTCAATGGGTTACATATCAATATATAAAGAGGCTAAATACATAAATAAACATTTTATAGAATATACCGTAATTGTTTAAACATTATTCATGAAAGTTATTTCAAACTTGAAAGCAAATAATCTTTTTATTTATTTTTAATAATGGATAAAATTGTGTTTTCGTATAGGGTTTACGAGTTATTGAAAGTAAAGGGGCGTGCTGATTTCTTGTCATCTTGTGTTTGTCAAGAAATTGGTTATTGCTCCTTTACGAGTTAGGAAGAGTTTTGTACTCTCTCCGACCCTAAAAGAATGACTCTTTTGGCCAAATTTTAGTCCCAAAATGTTCATCATATTTTTGCATTAAATACCATTTGCCATAATATTTGTGCAAAATTGGTTTTTTCTATGTACTCTTATTACTTTCTCTCTCTACATTTTTACAAACCCCATATAAATTTATTTTTTCAATGTACTTTTGTTAATTTTCCCATACATTTATACTTCAAACTTAAGTTTTTTAATATCCGTGAAAACTCAGCAAGAGGATCATACTTTAAGAGACGGAGGGAGTACTAAATTAACTACGGAGTATTTTTTTTTCTAGGTAAAGCTAGTACTCTATATTTTTTAAATTTTATTATAGCTATGAAGTTAATTTAACGAAAATAATCTCAATTTTTTCACACAGGTTTTTTTTTTTTTTTTTTTTTATTGAGAGAAAAAAAAGGTGCTCCTACAAAAAAAATAAAATAAAATTTGCACCTAATTTAAAATCGCTCATTAACTTTTAGAAATTTTGTAAATTACCACCCAAAAAGAGGTCCAGTTTTGAAATTACCACCCATTAAAAACTTTATTTTAAATAACCACCCATTAAATTAATTAATCTTTCAGATTACCACCCATTTTGTTTTTCCGGTTGAAAATCCGTTTAAGGGGCCCACATAACTGCTATTAACGGCTAGTTTGACTAAATTGACTGGGTTTCTCCTTGATTTTTCGTGTTTATATATTTCCCAACTACAATTACTTGGAAAAAAAAATATATCTCCAATTAACAAATTCTTCCCCTAATTTCTTCCAAATTCCCCAAATTTGAACTGGTATTGTGCGACGAATTAATCCATTGAAGTTCAGACCCAATTGAATTCGCATTTGAGGTAAGACTCCTGAACTTTAAAAATTAGGGTTCCTGGGTAAATTTATTTGGGGGATTTTGCAATTAGGTTTCGTGGAAGTAATTAATTGGGTGTTTATGTTATTTTTCTGGTAATTGGTGTTGGTGTTGTCCAAATTTGGTGAATGATTGTTTATTAGGTTGAATAATGGTGTCAAATGTGTTGTTTTTTTTTTAAAGAAAGATGTGAATGATTCATTCATGCATGAAGTTGTAAGCTTGGTTTTGTGTTGTTTTTTGTTGAATGATGTCTTGCAGAAATGAAAAGAGGGGATAAGTACATTTTCAGATTTAAGTATTTTAGTTTTGTTGTGGACCTTGAGTATGAAGTAGGCAACAGTAACTTATAGGACACAGCCATAGCTTTCGAAGATCAACTGCGTGACATGGAAGATCCAAGTGAAGGATCAATTGATCTTCTTTATCCTATATTTCAGTATATCTATAAAGGGAAGTATAGGACTTCTTTAGAAGATGATGGTGATGTGTTCAAGATGATTAGGAGGTTGGGGAATAAGGATATGTACATCATACATGTTGGGAGCACAGATGACCCAGGGTTCTTAGCTGACTGTATCATTGAGTACAGGATGAAACAGAATGGGACTTGGCCACCCCCTGGTTATCCTCATTATGGGGGTCAACCACCACAGTGACTAGGTGTGCTTGTCTTAGAATAATATAATTGCTTGTGTTTGCTGGAAATGTTGCACAGACTGAGTTGTTGCTTTGTAAATGCAGGTTAGAAAATGTCTTGGAATAACACATCTCCCACTAACCAGAAGAAATGCAATTGTGGACTGCTCTTTGCTAGGTTGACATCTTGGACCAGAGAGAACCCAGGAAGGAAATTCAAGGCTTGCAAATTCTATGACCCTAACACTGAAACTAGAGGGTGCAAGTGTTTTGAATGGATTGACACTGAAGATGGAACTGAGTGGCAAAGAGATGTGATCAACAATCTTTTGCTTGACAAAAAATTGATGAAAGCTGAAGTGAACTATCTGAAAAGGGATGTTGATGACTTAAGTGGGCAGAGAAGGTGTCTTCTTAATGAGGTGGATACATTGATAGTGAAATGCAAGGCTTTAAGTGGAGATAGGAAGAAGATGCTCAATGGCAGTGGCAATCCTGATAGCAAGCTAATGATTGTTGTAGTTGTTGTTTGGTCCTTAATTTTAGTTTTAGGTTGTGTTGTAGTTAATAAACTGGTTTAAGGGAGGTGTAGTTGTTGTAGTAGTTGTTATTTTAGTAATGGAATGAACAAGTATTTCTGGTTTATTTGGCTTATGTGTTATGTTTGCTGATGCTTTTTATTAGCTTCCTTATTTGTTGATTGTTCTGTAAAAGAAAAATAAAAGGAAATAGAATATGGGCACACCACAATTTAATCAACACAGTTGCAGCTAAATGAATTAAGTATTTGGGCAAAGTTTGTCCAAACCAAACTGTCAATGTCATTGAAACAACATCCAAGATTACACAAGTCACAAAATACAACCTAACACTACCACCTTCTAATTACATACTATCCAAAATATGAGAAACTAACACTACCACCTTCTAATTGGTACCACCTTGAATCTTGTATTTGATTCAAGTTGGAACAGTGTTAGCATAAGTAGTTGTTGAGGCTTGGCTTGGTTGACTTAAAGGTTCTTGTTGGTGACTCTACTGAGTCTGCTGACTTTGTTGCTCCTGCTGTTGTTGTTGTTGCTGTTGCTTCCGCTGTGCTTTCTGTTGCTGCTCCTTCCTGTATTGCTCTTGAGGGAATGTCCTGTTCCCAATGCTGTTAGGTCCAGCAGTAGCACCTAGTGCACTTTCCTAAATTTGGCATACAACAGAACAGTAGTTAGAAACACATATCAGCTAAGTACTAAAAAAAATAAAAATCCACTTTGCTTTGAGTGTTACCTTCTGCAATGCTCTGAGGTTTTTCTTCTTTCTTTGTTCTTTCACCCAGTCACTATCAGATTGGGGTCTACCTCCTCCTTTTTTTGGTGAAGAAACTGCTAGTGGAGTAACTGTAGGGTTCTTGCAAGTTTTTGCATAGTGACCTTGCTGCCCACAGTTGTTGCAGGTACTCCTCCTTTTCACAGGCTTTTTCACAGATTGGCTTTGGGCACCCTCCTCTCCCTGCTCCAGCTTTCTTTTCTTATATTTAGGTCTTCCAGGCTGGATCTTGATGGCTGGTGGCATAGGTGCTCTGAGGTTGACCTTGTCCCAATGGTGTGGGCCAGGCATTGGTTGTACTTCAAACCTATAAGCCAACATATAGGTGTCCACAGCATATGCACTGTCCACATAATCTTCAGGGTCTGCTCTCTTGTCCATGATGCATGCATATGCATGGACACAAGGGATACCTGTCAGCTCCCAATGATAGCAGGTACATGTCCCTTTACTTAGGTCAACTGTAACTAGATCAGAGTTCAGTTCAACCTCATATGCATCATCCCTAGATACTTGCACAATGCAATGCCTTGCAACTGGTTCAATTTTTTTAAAAGTTTTCTTCACATATGGAGTTACCTTGCCCTCCATTTTCTGACAACACTCCCACTTGTCATGATTCCTTTTCATCATATACCTCCTAAGCCACTCCATTTGTGTCAAAATAGGCTTATCCCTAGCTTCTTTTATCACAGCATTGAAGGTCTCACAAACATTGTTCAAAAGCATGTTTGACTTTGGAAAGGAGCTAAATGCATGCCTAGACCAGTGCTTAGGAGGGATGTCAGCAAGGTATTCATATGCCTCCCCAGACAAGAACTTAATGGATTCCATGGCAACTTCAAAATCAAACTAAAATGTGCAGGGAAAAAAAAATCAAGACATATCAAACAAACCTACATTATTGACAGCAGGATTTACTAACAGCACTAGATAAAATGTCAGAAGCTTTAAGTTAGACTAAAACAAGAAGAACAGGTTGAAGTTATGCTTACCAAGGTAGTTGCTCTGGCTGCTGACCAAAATAGCTCCTTAAATGCAGAGCCACTGAATTGAAGCTTGAAGTTAGCCCATATATGCCTCACACAATACCTAGTGTCAGCATTTGGTACAACTTGATTCAAAGCTTCTAGCAGGCCCTGTTCACAAATAAACAAAATAAGTAAGTTAAAGTGCAGACATAAAAGTGTCTATCAGACATAAAAGTGTAGGGTTACCTTTTGTCTATCAGACATAAAAGTGTAGCCAAGCCCTCCTTCTTCATCTTTAAGTGTGCCCATCAAAAGCTCAAGAAAAAAGATCCAAGTTTCCTTGTTCTCAATCTCAACTGTAGCCCAGGCAATAGGATAAATGTTGTTATTACCATCCTTACCAACTGCTACTAGGATCTGCCCTGGGTATGGACCCTTAAGATGAGTGCCATCAAGCCCAATTAATGGTCTGCAGCCTGATAAAAACCCTTTGGCTAAAGGTGCAAGACACATATACATCCTCAAAAACAAAGGAGGTTCAGGCTTCTCCACTCCCTCAACCATTACTACACAACCAGATCCAGGGCTATACTTAAGAACAACCTTCCCATAGTCCCAAACTCGAGCATATTGTTCTGATGCTGAGCCATAGATCTTCAGTTTAGCCCTAGCCCTTGCCATCCAAGCTTTACTGTATGTTATTTCAATCCCAAAGTCCCCCAAAACCTTCCTTCTGAAAGCTTTAATTTTCCACAAAGGATCTGATCTGAACTCCTCAATGTACTTCTCAGCTAAGTACTCAGCAGTTAAGTTGTGATTGCTCCTAACTCTTAGACAATTATGCTTCAAATTTAAGCTCTTAATCTGCCAAAAATCTTGGTTCACAGACCTCCTAACAACCACCTTAAAGTAACATCTCCTACCCCCTACACAAGTACAACTAGGAAGTCTACATTTTTTGGGATTCCATTTACATTGACACCTCTTCCTACATTGTATAGTGATCTTGCTACTGTCATTATGTAAATACCAATATTCATACCTATTCTCAATGGCATGAACCCTGAGAGCTATCCTCACCACATTGTTGTTCATAAACTTCTGGTACTTCACCAATTGAATTGGTTTGCTGAAGTCTGTTGTAGCATGGAACCAAGGGCTGTTATCATGCTCATCATCAGACCCTCTTGGACTATCCAATTCCTCAGAGTCAGAGGTGAACTCTGTTTGCAAAGCTACCTCATTCTGTAGCAGCTGACTTTCCAAGAACACTTGTTGTTCTTCTTTGTCTTGCACATCCTTCAAACTAGCATTCACTTCTTCCAAAATTTGCCTCCCACTAACCTCCAACTGCCTTGCCTCTTCTACTCCCCCATCATCACACTCCTCTTCCCCTGCTCCCCAATCTATATCAGTCCCCTCAGAATCAGAAAAATCAGATCCACTTTCTGATTCAAGCTCAAGCTTTCTCTTTGTCTTCTTCCCCTTGGAAGTCCCTTCCTGCTCACCTTGCTTCCCCTTCCCTTTAACACTTTATGTGGGAACCCTATCTCCAACCTTATCAGCAGCTTCCTCTCCCTCAGTCACCCCCTTATTTGTTTCCTGTTTAAACCTAGGGCTTCTTCTAATTTCAGTGGGCTTGGATTCATTGTTTTGACTATTTTGGGCAGGCAGAACAGTATTAGGTTCTTCAGTTACAACCCTAAACTGGTCTTGGCTTGTACAGTAAAGTACAACAAACCCATCCTTACTTTTGGTCTCTAAAAAGCCCTTGACTTCCTCTTCATTCACAATTTCCCTTTTGCCATTTGACCAAAGCTTTCCCTTTTTTTTATACCAAATATTCCACTCACTAGGCACATGCAAATCTAGCTTAACAAAACCCCAAATGCAACACTCTCTGAGAAAGTTCACTGACATGTCACTCACTTTATAGCCATACCTCCAAAACTCCCATCCTCCTTCATACACAACCATATTCCTTCCCTTTAATTTTTTTTTCACAAACCCACCACCTAATCTAACCTTAACATCCAAACATTCCTGTTTACCTGGTACCTATTCATATTAATAAGCCACTAATGAATAAACCATACTTGGCAGTCTACAGTTCACCCACACAACACCATAATTTATTCAATTCAACACATGTGGCATAATTAAACAATAAACACCCAATCAAACAACAATTATAGTTCAAATTGCAATAATAAACAATTGTGAAGATAACCCATTATACATTTAACCCTAATTTTTCGCATAATTGCAATTATACCATCAACAACATACATATACAAAATTCAATTGAATAGGGTCAAAATTGCTTACCTCAGTAGTCGCCATTGACATCAGCAGTACCCACGAGCTTCAAAATCACGCTTTTGGTCCCCAGATCACTTCAAGATAGCGACTTTACCAGTACATGCAAGTCCACCAAATGCATTCAATTTCCAGGAAAAAAGCTCAGAAATAGGGTTTTAACTCAATTGTATAGGAGTGGTTGAGGATTTGACAGATAAATAAAGGAAGAAACAGGAAAAAATTGATGGATTTAGATGATTTCAGTGAGGAAATTGGAGAGAGAAGCTGTGTTATGTGGTTAATGGAAGTTAGGTCGAAGAAAAGAAGAAGAAAAAGGAGGGAAGTTAATAGGGTGGGCCCCTCAAACGGATTTTCAACCGGAAAAACAAAATGGGTGGTAATCTGAAAGATTAAAATAAAGTTTTTAATGGGTGGTAATTTCAAAACTGGACCTATTTTAGGGTGGTAATTTACAAAATTTCCTTAACTTTTATTTATTGGAAGTAAATATTTTCATTTCCTGGAACAGTTATACTCGTATTTCCCTTGAGGCCTCCCTCTCATTTTCTCTCTCCTCGTTCCCTCAAAATTTTCTTCGAGGGTCTTCTTCTCTCAAAGTCGAAACCCTCTCGAACCCTAAAACATACCCAGAAACCCCAATATATCTATCCATTATCTTAATTTTCCCCCCAAATTGATTTCAATTTCTGGGTTTTTTGAGAATGCAGAATCAAAGAATGAAGCAACAACAACAAGCTTTGATGCAGCAAGCTCTTCTTCAGCAACAGTCTCTTTACCACCCTGGTCTTCTTGCTGCTCCTCAGGTGATTTTTCTTTTTGATCTGTTTCAGTTTTAATTTCGCCCGAATTTGAGCTTTTGATTGCTTGTTTTGGTATCTAGGGATTTGGGTTTGTTTTAGGTTCGGTCATTTTAGATAGATTAATTTAGGGTTTTTGGAAAATTTTGATTTTGGTGTTTGATTTTTCTGTTT